AAACTGCTATGGATATGGAGGTCAGAAGGGAGCATGGGCATGAATCCTGAATGGTGGGGAAACTCGAAACCATCACAACCAAGAGGTGGGTTCCATGACACCCGCCCCTCAGGTGAGCAGCCCCGACTCCTTTGCCCCCATGAGGGAAGCCCCACTCACCTGACTTGTCCCCCTGGAGTGAAGAGAGGCCCCACTTTTGAGTGTTGTGTGTCAATGACAGTGTTGTGTCACCGGTGGTCATGTTGATTAGTTGAAGAGAATAAGATTAAAAAAAAAAAAATCTTGTTAAATCGGTTTAACCACAATCCCACCATCAACATCTGATCACCTTCAATATCTAAACAAATTCCTCATCTCTCACCATCTCCCAGGTAATATCTGATCAAAATGGGCTGCCTTCAGCAGTCCTGTTAGGTTAGTTTAGCCAGAATCTCCCTACCCCTGATGTTTCCTCTCAGTAATTTTCTATCCACTGACAAGCCACCCCCTTCCCCACTTCCCCCTGACCCAACTATTGCTCCTTGGCTATAAATCATCACCTGTCCATTCCGTAGTAGGAACTGAACCCAGTTCTATACTGAGTGCTCTTTTCTCCTATTGTAATAGTTCCTGTAATACTTGTTTTTACTGCTGTAACTACTGTCCAGCTCTAGTATTTTGTGATACTAGGAAACTGGAACAGGATATGTTTACTTAAATACATGTGTTTACTTTCCATTTAACTATTAGACAGCATTTATGTATTAGGAGTAATACTTTTACCTCTGTCAGTAAAGAGCTAAAATGTGTAAAAGAAATGTTATCCCAAACCTGGTATGGGACAAACCTTTTTTTGCTTGATGTAATTCTCTTTCTGGAAAGAATGGAGGAAATGAGCATCCCTGACAAAATGCTTAAGCCCGTTTAATGAGATAGAGACACATTTTGTGAAACTAGTTAGTTACCCACCCTAGCTAACTCTCACGTGATTGTCAGTCAAGAGGCAAGTGGCATGTAAGGAAATACTCTTTTTAAAAATCTAGTCTAGGACTTCCCTGGTGGTGCAGTGGTTAAGAATCCGCCTGCCAACGCAGGGGACGTGGGCTCGAGCCCTGGTCTGGGAAGATTCCACGTGCTGTGGAGCAACTAAGCCTGAGCACCACAACTACTGAAGCCTGAGTGCCTAGAGCCCGTGCTCCGTAACAAGAGAAGCCACCGCAATGAGAAACCTGCACACTGCAATGACGAGTAGCCCCCGCTCACCCACGCGCAGCAACAAAGACCCAATGCAGCCATAAATTAAAAAATAAATATTTTAAATAATAAATAACTAAAGTAAAAATCTAGTCTAACAATAATCTAATTATTTCCTATTCCTATTTCCTATTATTTCTGTTAAAGAGAAAAATCACAGGCCCAAAATGGCAGCACTTGTGTTAAAAGCCCATGATTTAATACCTAACCTAACTGCAGTTTTGACCTTTCCCAGAAATGTAATCTTAATCAATCAATTTGGAATTTGCTGGTCAGCACCAAGAGGTAATCTGTCACTTGGGCCCTCTCCAACTCCCGCCAACCCCCTAAAGGAAGAAGAAGCAATCTGCCTGACAAAACCTTTCCCAGCAAAAAGATGTCTTAGCCTAAAAATAATCCATTATTATTTTTCATCAATAGCTCCCTTGTGCCCCACCCTTCTTTCTATAAAAACCTTCCCTTTTGTACAGCCCTTCAGAGGGCGCTTCTAGTTGCTAGATATGATAGTGCTTAAATTATGAATCACTGAATAAGGCCAATTAGGTCTTCAGACTTTGAACTCTGTTTTTTAAGATTTCCTATTTCTATAAAGCATCAATTGCAAAATGGACTAACTAGCAGTTTTTCCTTTGCATGCAAAATTGTGATATAGCTTTGATATTTATTACCAACTTTGTGGAAAAGTTTTCTTTAATTAATGTGTACACTGTGTATTTATGTAATAAGCAGTTATGGTAGGGGGTCCTCAGAGAAAGAGATCCAGGCATGGCTTTCTTGACATAAGAGAAGCCATTTTAGGCCTAAGCCATTTTGTGACCTAAGCCTGGCCACAATGCTTGCCCTCAGTAATAATAATCTCAAGGGAACAAAAGAACAAAGTACTCTTATCAGGCAAAAGAAGGGAACAACAACAAAGACAACAAATCAGATAATAAAGACTTCCCAGATCTGTTTCAATGGTAAAGATTAGCCTGAAGCACTTTCTTGAGCTGTTTTGAAGAATTTAAACCCCCTCCAGGGCTCAACCACCATATCTACTGGAAGTTAAGGGATGATGATGTTGACCTTTTCTGACCTTCATGACTTCAATCAACTAAAGCTTGGACCTCTGTTGACCTTTGCCCAATTCCATGCAGAATTCTCTGCTCAAGCTCCTTCATGAATATGCATGGCCCTTAGCTTAAAACTTCCCCAAGTGTGCTGTTCTGGGAGACACTGCCTTGGGAAAGATTCAAGTAATAAATCCTGCAAGTAATAAATCCTTCCTTCTTTGGCTTGGTCATGTCAAAGGACTACCATGACAATTTTTTCTTTTAATAATCTTTTATTCATAGGCTTTAATGATAACACTATTATTTGGGAAGCATGTTTTTTATCATAAATGAAATGGGAATGTCTATATCTATATTTTAACTCTTACTATTTCAGTCTAAGACAGAAGTCCCTTAATAGAAGATTGCTCAAAAAAGGTCAAGTGAATACAAATGAGTGTCTGTTGCTTTTAAACCAAGACTTAGAGGATAGGGTCAAAATGATACTTAAGACTCCCTTCTTCTACCTCCTCCAAAAATAGATTTTTTTGCTCTTATGGTAGCTATTGAGGCCAGTTTTTGTTTTCTGATTGAGATAGTAATAGGAATGAGACAGGAGGGAAGGGGGCAGGGCACAACCTTTAAAAGAATGACACAGCCATTGAGGATGCAGAAAAAAACTAGTTAGAACCAACTAGGTCCAAGATGGCAGAAGATTCAACTTCCAGTAGCCCTTGAGCCTCATTACACGCTCATTGTAATATCAATACATTAGCTAAAAGATACATCCACAGGCACCATGACAGCTCCAAGGCTGACCATAAAAGGCCAAAAAGTGGGCGGTGGCCCAATTCCTGGAAATCCCTGCCCCTTGTCCAAGATAGTAGGAATAATCATCCTACCTATGAAATTACCCAGCCGTAA